AACCAAGCACACGTGGTCCCTCGTCACTTCAGTGTTATGCAACCCTAGTATAAAGTAATTCATTACAATTTTTACCCACACCTGAGCTTCACGATTCATGTGAGCATAATGATACGATTGATGCTTAATCAACTTTGTAGTGGACTGTGCTCCACACAGAGTGTGTTGAATTTGCTGATAAGAAATGTTGATATTTAACCCCGTCAAGATATCAGAAGAGGCATCTACAGTGCCCAATATTTGATTTATAGTTGACGGTGTCAGACGGACCTCCACGCCACGGATTGTTACAAAGTGAGAACGTGCATCGAGTTTCAAATTTGCATAGAATTCCCGCACCATACTAACATTGCACTATATTGGATCCTGAAAGACGAAGCCCATTCGCAACTCTTGTAGGTGGTGCATAATGCGAGGGAACTCCCTCTCCAATTGGACATCATCAAGTATCACATCCGAGAAGTACTTGGCTTCGGTGTGTGATTTATACCACTTTTTACCCTCATATGTGACTGCCTTAGCCCCATAGCTTTAAGTCTGCCCTCTTGGGACTGTGGGTGCTGCGGGAATGGTTGTGCCCGTCCTCACTCTCTTACGGCTGCTAGACCCAACCGCTTTGCTAGACCATTGTGTGCTAGAAATGTCATCATGCAATCAGACAGTTATATCTTCTAGAGTCCAAAGTCTCAGGTTGCATCCCGAGTAGCGCCTAATTTAACATTGCGGAACGACACAGATTCCCTTCATTCATTGCTCAGATCCACTCTTTCTTCTTCTCGATCCACCTCTTGTATGAAATAATGCTTCACCCTCTATCCATTCACGGTGAACGTGGATTTCTTAGCTTTTTTCCATAACACTATCGCTGCATGGTCGGTCATGCACACCACGTCAAATGGTCCGCTCCATTTTGATTTCAACTTACCTGGAAACAACTGCAATCTAGAGTTAAACAATAATACCTTTTGACCAGGCTCAAAGAGTCAGGGCACAATATGGTTATCATGCCATCGTTTACTCTTCTCTTTATAGAGCTTAGAATTTTCATAGGAATGAAATCTGAATTCCTCTAATTAATGTAGCTAACCCATCCTTTTTCTCCCAGCTAGTTCCAGTTCCAATTTCAACTTTTTCACTGCCCAGTAAGCCTGATGTTCTAATTCAACTAGAAGGTGACAAACTTTACAAATCACCAAGTGATATGGAGTAGTCCCTATTGGTGTCTTATAGGCGGTCCTGTACGCCTACATTGCATCATCAAGCTTCATTGCCCAATCTCTCCTTTCAGTATTCACTATTTTTTGTAGAATCTGCTTCACCTCCCGGTTTGATAGTTCTACCTGACCACTAGTTTGAGGGTGATACGATGTAGCTACCTTGTGCCTGACTCCATATTTAGCTAAGACATTCTTCACCAATTGATTTATGAAGTGTGTCCCTCCATCACTGATTATTTCTCTAGGAGTTCCAAATCGAGTAAAGATATGCTTCTTCAGAAACTTCAGCACCACTTTCGCGTCATTAGTAGGAAAAGCTACTTCCTCAACCCACTTGGACACGTAGTCAACAACCACAAGTATATATCGATTTCCATTTGATGTAGGGAATGGTCCCATGAAGTTGATCCCCCAGACATCAAATATTTCAACCTCCAAGATGTTATGCAAAGGCATCTCATGTTGTCTGGAAATAGACCCCATCTTCTGGCATTTATCACAACTTTTAACATACCCTTCAATATCTTTAAACAGAATCAGCAAGAAAAAACCTGATTGGAGCACCTTATGTCCAGTGCGCTCACCTCCATGATGACCCCCATATGCAGACGAGTGGCAACTATCCATCACTTGTCTCATCTCAGACTCAAGGACAAACCTCTTCATCATTTTTTTTCGGCCCTTGCTTGAATAGATAAGGCTCATTCCATATGTAGAACCGAGCATCATCAATCAGCCTCTTGTTTTGATGTGTGGTTGCACCCAGTGGGAATAATCCAATCACCAAATAATTAACAATATTTGCATACCATGGTAGTTATGTCACCTCTAACGCCAATAATTGTTCATCAGAAAAATCTTCTTGAATCTAACCTTGCTCTCCCACATGTGACGAACTCTCCAATCTTGATAGGTGATCTGCAATGTGGTTTTCATAACCTCTTCGGTCCTTGATCTCTATGTCAAACTCTTGCAACAATAGAATCCACCTAATTAACTGCGACTTTGCATCCTTCTTATTAAACAGGTACCTGATAGCTACATGGTCAGTATAAACAACAACTTTAGTCCCTACGAGGTAAGATCTAAATTTTTCAAAAGCATAAACCAAGGCTAGCATTTCTTTTTCGGTCACTGTGTAGTTGGTTTGGACTGCATCCAGTGTTTTGCTTGCATAATATATTCAGTGAAACACCTTTTCTTTCCTTTTCCCGAACACTGCTCCTACAACCACATCACTTGCATCACACATCAACTCAAAAGGAAGCTCCCAATTTGGGGAAGTCAGGATTGGAGCTTCTATCAAATTTTTCTTCAACGCTTCAAAAGCTTGAATGCATTACTCATCGAATACGAATTTCATCTCTTTCTCTAGGAGACTACACATGGGTCTTGCAGTCTTAGAGAAATCCTTGATGAATCTCCTATAGAACCCAAAATGAGCAAAAAAGCTTCTCACCCTTTTAACAAAGACCGGGGGAGGTAGTTTTTCAATGACTTCTACTTGGCACAATCAACTTCCTTCCCTCTCTTTGACACCTTATGGCCCAATACAAGCCCTTCCTTCACTAGAAAATGACATTTTCCCTAGTTTAGGACGAGATTAGTTTCCTCGCATCTAGCCAACCCTGTCCAAATTCTCCAGATACCTGTTAGAAGATTCATGATCTTAGGCATATTTATATGCCTAGAAATCTAATAATACCCATATTTAAGCTAAGTTTGAATTCAATATGTGTTTGTTTATAGTCTTATCAAGTATTTTGGTTGTATATAAACTAACCAACATGATTAGTTGTGTAGGTGAGCTTAAAGGGAGAAATGAGCACTAAAATGGACATTGGGGAACACAAAAGATCCGAGTCAAAAACAAGCAAGGAAGAAAAGAGAAAGAGAAGAATTCCAAGGCATAGTTTTATCCTCTCCACGTCGCGGAGAGGAATTATACTTTGGATCGTGAAATAAAGATCTAGGCAGAGTACTTTGTGTCCTCTCTGCGTCGCGTAGAGGGATTCTTAATTAAATTCGCGAGATTCAAATTTAGGCAGAGTGGTCTATGTAGTTGCCGCATCACGAAGAAAAGAAAATATCTGAGAACGAAATCTGGGAATGCCTCCACATTGCTCCCCTAGGTTCTAGATTTGGTCGTTTTGACTTTAGTATAAATAGGTTAATACTTTATTTTATTAAAACATTATTTTTCTGGGTTTTGAAGAACGACAACTTGGAGAGCTATTTCATCATTTTTTAGGGTTCTTTCCTAAACTCTTTTACTTTTGATCTTTCTATGATACTTAAACACTGTTTGATCGAATCTATGATTATGAGTAGCAGAATACCCTAGTGTAGGGTTGTGGCTACATGATGATTGTAATTTATTAAGTTTTCATGGGTTAAAGTCAATTATCATATGAATCTTTTTTATGTTCTTGTTTTTCATATTTCGTGCTTGATCACCATTGAAATAAACACATTGTCCGAATTGAACTCGGGAGAGGAAAAACATGATAGAACGTGGGACATAAGGAGCATGATTAACTCTCAATAATTAGTGTTAATTTGTATCTAGCATTGTGATATACCTATAAACAATGCTTGGTCACTATACATGAAGAAATTGTAATGCTCGATACTTGGTCAAATCTATCCCCGCTCAACGATGTAGTTAGGTTGTCATTTATCGTAGGCGATTAGAGGTCGAGAGACCATAATCATACATTTAACCCTGTGATCACTGATTTGATATTTGAGTAATACTCATTTATATAATATAAATTGTATGAATCCTAATAAGAGTTGCAGCCTTGGACTTTACCCAATCATTGTTTTAAACCCTTGAAATTGAATCGCGTTTTTTATAATTCTGTTTAACTTTTAGATTATAAAATAAATCATTTTTGAAATCATGATATCTTAGCTGAAAATAATGGAACGATCGAGTTACTAATCATAAGTCCATGTGGGTACGATCCCCGACTCTTTATAAGAGCCACTTTAATACTTGAACGACCACGTGCACTTGCGTGTGCAATTGGGAGCAACAAATATTTAGCGCCGCTGCCGGGGACTTTAGAATTAAAAATTATTGATTTTTTTTTATTTCCAAAGTTAAAAAAAAGCAAATGTTGATAACTTGATCTTAGAAATTCATTGTTTTTGGTTGTACTGAAACTCCAAACTAGACGATGATCAAAGATTGGTAGAGATTCTAGCTGAACCAGAAAGATTAGTTCACTACCGAAGAAGGCAAAGAAGACTCACTTAGCAAGTCCCTCTTGTTGCTAGTGAACCAAATTCTCCAGTAGCAAGAGTTGAGCAACAATAACCTGTACTAATGGCTGAGATGAAGGTAAGAGACATGGCAATCTCACGTACCACCAGTGTAACATGATGCATTAAGAAACCTGCAACTGGTGGAAGGTTTGAACTAAAGCAGAGTATGGTGCAACTATTGCACACTAATGGGTAGTTCACTAGTCTATCGCACGAGGATCCAACAGTCCATATCCAAAACTTCCTCGAGATCAGTGATACCTACACTCCAACTGGAGTAAATGAGGATTATGTGAGGCTCACTTTATTCCCCTTTTCTATGCTTGGGGAAGCAAAAAGATAGTTGAATTCTGAGCCCACTAACTCTATCACCTCATGGAATGACCTAGCACAGAAGTTCCTTAACATATTTTTTCCCTCTTAAAAATATCTAAGTTGAGGAGTGACATCCTAAGTTCTAGACAGAAACGAGGAGACAACTTGTACCAAGCTTGGGATAGGTTTAAATCGATGTTGATGAGTTTTCCACATCATCATCAATCTAATGAGGTGTTGGTCCATACCTTCATTGAAGGATTGGAGCCTAACACCAAAATTTTACTTCATTTAGATGCAGGTGGTCAGGCTTTAGAGAAGACATATGTTGAGTTATTCACCTTGCTGAACAGGATCTCACAGGGTAACCCTGAATGGAACGGAGGAGGGGTGAAATCGGTGATACAAAAAACTGCAGGTATGTTGGAAGTAGATGGACTGACTACTTTAACTGCACAGATTGTTGCGATGCAAAACATGATGAACACCCACTTCAACAATCTAGCATTGGAACAACAACCCACTCAGGTGAATACAGTCCAACAACCACCAACTTGGTATGAAATATGTGGAGGTGGTGATGAGAGTGCAGAGGTATGTGGTGCAAACCTGGATTCTGTGAATTTTATAGGTCAGAACTATGGAAACTTGTACAATCGAAGCCGGCAAAACCCTCCAAATTTTCTTGGGGTGGTAATAAAAATCAGGCTCAAGGCCAAAATCAATATAGACGCCAGGGAAATGCATAAGGGTACCAACCATAGCTCTAATGGGAGAAGCCAAATAAGCAGTCTAGCTGATCAAGCCCAGTTAGCTGCTGATGGAAGAAACAACCAGTTGGCTATACAGAATCAGGAGAAACAATTCGGGCAGTTTTCTAGTGCCCAAAACTCACAACCATAAGGAGATTTGCCGGGAAACACTGATCCAAATCCCAAGCAGGTAAACGCAGTAGTTACACACAGTGGTTTGTAGTTAGAGGAGTTAGCTCCTAAGAAATGAAACACTTACGCTGTGAGTAAAGAGAGTGAACCCAAGGAGAGTGAGGTTGTTGTACAAGAAGAAAGAGTGCAACCAATAGTGAAACCACCTCATCCATTCCCTCAAAAGTTCAAGAAACAGAAGGAGGTTGAATGTTTTGGTAATTTTCTCTCTCTTTTGAAACAAGTTCGTATTAACTTGCCATTGGTAGATGTTTTTCAGGGTATACCTAAGTATGCTAAATATGTGAAGGACATTGGGGAAAATAAAAGGAGGCTAACTGAATATGAGACAGTTGTACTTACTGAAGAGTGCATCTCTCGAATCCAAAATAACTTGCCCACCAAATTGAAAGATCCGGGTAGCTTTATGGTTCAGATCATTATAGGGCAGAGCATCCATGTGCAAGGATTGTGTGATCTAGGAGCTAGTATCAATTTGATGGCAACTTTGTTGTACAAAAAGCTGGGGTTGGGTAGTCCTAAACCTACAACCATCATCTTACAGTTGCCTAATAGATCTGTTGCTAGGCTTGAGGGTGTTGTAGAGGATGTCTTAGTTTAAGGGGGATCATTGATATTCCTAGTACACTTTGTTGTGCTAAATTTTGAGCCATATCCTGAGGTCCCATTCATCTTAGGAAGACCATTCTTGGCTATTGGTCGCGCTATGATAGATAGAGCAGCTGGGCAACTCACTATGTGGGCACATGATAAAGTGGAGGTGTTCGACGTGTACAAGGCATTAAAGCTACCAGCTGTTTATGAAGAGTTGTCTTCCATAACTGTGATAGATCTTGAGGCAGAGGATTAACATATTACTTTCAAGGATCCTTTAGAGCGAGTGTTAGTAGGAGATTATATCTATGGGGATGTTGAGGCACAAGTAATGGTGCAATTTCTTGATATGGCACTTGTAGGTACATCCAGAGATCGTTGGGAGCCTTTAAATAGGGTGTTGGGTCCTCCACCCAAGCCCTCCATTTAAGAGTCACCACATCTAGAGTTAAAATCATTACCAGCCAACCTCAGGTATGAATTTTTGGGTGAAGATAAAACTTTACCGATTATTTTGTCTACAACATTGTCTGATGCACAGGTGGAAGCAACATTAATCATCTTGAAGAAGAGAAAAGCAGCGTTGGGTTGGCAAATGTCCGACATCCATGGAATTATTCTCGCGGTGTGCATGCATAATATCTACATGGAAGACGGTCATAAGTCGAGTGCACAACATTAACAGAGTCTAAATCCAATGATGAAGGATGTGTTGAGAAAAGAGGTGATTAAGTGGTTAGATGTAGGGATTGTGTACCCCATATCGGATAGTAAATGGGTGAGTCCAGTACAATTGTGCCCAAGAAGGGAGAAATGACTATGGTAACTAATGAGAATAACGAATTGATACCCACAAGGACAGTAACATGGTGGCGTATCTGCATGGACTACAGAAAGTTAAATGATGCCACTAGAAAGGACCATTACCCGGTAACTTTTATTGATGAGATGTTGGATAGACTAGCGGGTCAGGAATATTATTGATTCGTGGATGGCTACTCAGGGTACAGTTAGATTGTTATTGCACCAGAGGACCAGGAGAAGACTACCTTCATTTGTCTGTATGGCACTTAGCGATCGTTATCACGTAAAGAACCCAACTTGTAGGTTGGGGTCGATCCCACGAGGAATATGGTTTAGACTTAAGTTCAATAACGATTATATTCGTTTAGCCAATGTATTTCTAAGACAAATAACTAAAAAGGGGGGCGGGGGAGGGGGAGGGGGAATATGTGTAACAAATTTTGGTAACTATGAAAGTAATTAGTAAGCAAGATTCAAACTTTTGTTGTTATCAAATTCAGATGGAAACTAGAGCGTACGTGTTCCCCATAAGCTCAGAACTCTATAATCCTAGTAATAGCAATCCATTCTTAGTGTATTACATGTAACGCGATAAGTTATGTATCTCTAAATCCTCGGTCCAGCATCTAGAGAATTTCACCCCACACCTTGGTCCGGCTACGTGTGTATAATTCACTCACCCTTACCACATTACCTCATATTAGACGTCACATCAATGTATGGCTTAGTTTTCACCCTCGCACCAATCGACATTAATTATATTAGATAGTATCACACCAAATCTATGTTGATAATTCTTTTCTTATTAACTACCTCCTTGGTCTGGCAAGTAGCAACAAGGCGAGTTCTAACGTTGCGCACTTTTAAAAAGACTTCTAGACGAAAGAATTATCAATGCATGCAAAACACTATTCAAGAATTACTTAGTTACTATTCATACTTCATTAATTTCACATGGTTCCCACAACCCTAGTTGTGGATTTAGTTACCTATATTAGCAAGAAAGCAATTCATAATATTTGAAGAATAAATCATGAACTTACGTAGTAGAGTACAATATTCCCAGAATTTCAACTTGAATTTCAAAGTAAAAATCACCAAAACATGCTTACGAAATTAAGAATTGCTAAAGTTGCAAGTTAATCTCTCAAGCCAAAAACTAGAACAAAAATAATAATGTCTAACCCCCTAAAACGAGATTTACATACCCTTTATGTAGGAAAATAATTCCTAACTAAAAAGGAAACGAAATAAAGAAATAAAGTTGCAGGAAACGTCTTCATTCTACAAGACTGACCTACGCTCCGTAAGTTGAGCTATGGTCCATAGGTCCCTTTCTTTCTTCAAAATCTGCAAAATCTCTGTCCCAATCAACGATTCCACAGTACGGACCGTAAGCCTATCTACGGTCCGTAACTTTTCTCTGTATCGCCACACTTAGATTTTTTTAGCATCAGGTACTGGAACCAATCTCTGAATAATTTGACGAAGCAACAGTACGGTCCGTAGATCAATCTACGGTCCGTAAGTCACAACCGTGGTTCCACACTTGGTCAAGAATTCCCTGATCTTCAGCAATGCCTTTCCTTCCCTTCTATGACAATCATCTACGGGGCATAACTGGACCTATGGCCCGTAATTTGCCTCCGTAGATGCCCTTTTCTGCAATTCTTTCAGTTGTGTCTTCAAGTTTCCGCGCCTGAACCTATTCCCTCTAAACATGAGAAAAACACATATAAACTAATACAAAATAGCCCTAGACACACATAACTCTCAAGTGAAATGTATCAAAAATACCATAAACTGATGGTACATCAACACCCTCAACTTAAAATCGTTGTTTGTCCTCAAGTGACGCACTAAGAATCTAAACGACACTTGTATAGAAGGAAGCAATTTAAGCACAAGCAATCACATGGCTCTCTATCCCAACTCTCTTTTCGGGTGCAAAATCTGTTCTCTTAGACTCAACAAGCTAATTTGTGCCGATCAAAATATGACACTGGTCCACCAATCAACTCACCACATACACTGTTCTACTATCATCAAGGTACCAACTTTCCAACAATGTCACCAGTGCCCTTACTTCAAACGAAATCCCTTTTTTCACACAATAAATATGATTTAAAGTACAAGGATTCATTCAACACTCACGCTCAAAAGTAACTTCAATTACAAGTAGTGCTCAATACCATAGGCTTGCCCTTATTTTTACTGCTTAGACTTTCCAACTAGGTTCTAGGATCACTATAGGACTTTTTTGGCTTGTAACTTAGGCTCAGGGTCAGGTGTGGTACATTTGGGTACTTTTAGTGACTTTCTGCCCTCCTTGACATTGCATTAGGCTTTTCTACCTTTTATTTCCCTATTTTTGACATCCTACCTTTTTCTCCTCTTTCCCTTGATTCTTTTCCATCATTGATGTGACTTTCGACTTTGTAGCTCTTTTATTTTATTCATTTTCTTGCTTTTTATTTCTTTTCTTTTTCAACACCAAACTCTTTCCATACCCATTTTTCTTAAGATTTACCCTTTCATAGCCACCCTCAACTTAAGGAAATTCTATTAGTTGTGGTGCACAATACCCGATGTCAGATCAGGGCCAAGATTGAGGTCAATTTTTGCATTAGCCACCCTAAACTTAGGGTTTTGGCCTATGTTGAGTTGCACATGTCCAAGGAGGGACCGGGGCTAAAACAAAAGATTATGGGAAGGTGAGTTACCAGTTTAGAAAGAAATGGTATCTTTTAGGGTCAAAACATGTGGATCAACGGGACCATTCATTTTCATTTGGTCGGATTCTTTTAGGCATTTAGTGGACTATTCAGAAAAATGACCTATGATCACTTCCTAGCCTCTAGAATAAATTATATTCACAGGACTAACCGGGCAAGTTCTAGATTGCACCAATTGTTTGAACAACAAGAGATTCTCGCACACTCTTGGAACACAGTTCCATTATCACATTATCAGATTACCCGGTTCAAGTTTTTAGCTTAAGTCAGGAAATCAAATTTGTCATTATCATGTCATACTCAGAGCCAACACATTCAACTTATTCTAGTCTACAACTTTTAGCACACATTTCAATATCTTTGGACGAGTTCAACAAGCTCATGCCATCATGCTTATGCTACCATTCTTTCTCACAATTTTACATATACAATCGTAAACATGTCGGTTCAATAAAAATTAATTAGTCTCTTGGGGAAAAAGAACACAGGCCCAAGAAAGGATTATTAGTTGGGTTACTGAAAGTTCACCCTATCACTCACAATCCATTTACCCCACCCCCAATAAAAATAGGTGAAATTGTCCCCAATACACACAAAAGTAGTAAAAATTGATCGATTTAGGTGAAGCAAACCTATGGCACTTAGCACCGAAGAATCATCAACAAGCGGGTGGGTCCGATTTCTCAGATTCCGCTACAGCAACAATGGGGTCACCCTCAGTAGTGCCCGAATCTTTGGTCACAACACCCTCAGTAGTGCTATCTGTCGGTCTCACCGCACACCCATAGAACTTGATGCCCCAGCAACCATCTCACGGGCCCTCTGTTGCCTCAGCTGCTCATCTTTTATGTAGGTTTTATGTGCCTTTTTCTCCTGCCTTTTTCTAGCCTTTTCCTCCTCCGTGAGCTTAGTTTTGAGACTAGATCGTTGCCTCTTACCTCGGGCACATGCACGCTTGGGTTGCTCCTCTACATCATCTCCACTGAAAAGTACACCCAGGACTGTATCATCGCCAAATGCAGAGGGTGCAGCCTGTGGCTCAACAACTGGTGTGGCAAGGATGGCGTGAATATCGCCCGGACACTAGCTAGCTCGGTACGGAAAGAGGACATATCAGTAGAAGGAGATGGCCTCTCTAGAACTCTCAACTCGAAGGCATCGAGCCGCTTATGAACTGCTTGGACCTTTTGGTCTATTTTCTCCTCCATCCATGTTTCTACTCTCTCTTCGGACTCAGCAATCAACTTTCGTATCCAAGACTTAATATGGTGCAGCAAGGTGGCCATCTGAGCCTCTAGCTTCTTGATTCGGGCCAATGATATAACATTGGCTCTAGAAGGTAGAGTGGCTCTAAATGTGCTCGGGGTCTGGCTAGCAGCCTGTGAGGAGGAAACTGGGGTATCATCATTGTGGGCTGGAGGGGAAGGATCATCACCCTGCATCTACTCCACCGCATCTACTAGATCAACATTCTCTGGTACATCGACCCGTGGCCCTCTACGTGGTGCTACTATGTTCACCTCATCCCGAATCAGCCCAATAACTATAGTTCCTATTGCATGGACCAATTTTTCACAGTGCCAGATCGGCACTCCAGAGTCTCTGCATAGCTGAAAGATCATACACGGGAATGGGTAGGTAGTAGTTGTAATGAAAGCCCTCTCATGAATCTTCGATAATATCAGGCAAGTCTATCTCCAGCCCTGCCACCAACGCT